CACCTGCTCCAGACGCCTTACACATAACAGTGTCCTCTGTACATCCCACACCTGCTCCAGACGCCTTACACATAACAGTGTCCTCTGTACATCCCACACCTGCTCCAGACGCCTTACACATAACAGTGTCCTCTGTACATCCCACACCTGCTCCAGACGCCTTACACATAACAGTGTCTTCTGTACAGCCTTGTCTTGAATGCTGCTTTTAGAGAAACTTAAACTAAGAGATTAATACATTGGTAAGTTAACAAAATTCTGAGCATGTGTTAGCCATGCAGAGATTATCACAAGGTGTAAGTACAGAAGGCAGGGTAAGTATGATGAATGCACATCATGCCTAGCTGAATGCCAAACCACCATAGATGCTTACAGGGTTATCATATTTCCTCCATTCCATGACAGACCTTGTCTTCCACATTTTAACTTTTCTGGAAACAAGAAAAAGTGCTGCCAAATGTAATTAGATCACTGATTTAAAGTGAACATTGGTGGACTTGTACTTTGTTGTGGGGACCTCATAGGGTAGAGTAGGCATTGTTGTTTGTGTGTGCTGGGGGAAGGAATTCTCACAACAGGCATGATGAACCTGATTATGACCCCAGCCATAAAATCAAAAAGAATAGGAGGACCCAAAGGGTTTCTGGACAGGCGCTGGGACACCGAGTTCATAAAAGCAGACTGTTTCTCCTATGTCTGTGGCATCAAGATAGAGCCTGGCCCAGGTTATTCACATGGTAAGTGAGATGGGAAGGTGGGAAGGTGGACTGTCCTGCCTGTCCCGGAAGCACAGAGAGGAAGTGAAACAACGAGAACAAAGACAGAGGTGGAGGTGGGGACAGCTTTAGAATTTGAAGAGCACCGCATGCTTGAGCAGCTAAGCAGACTGAGTGTGCCCTTCAGTACAGCCCACACACTTGATTGTGAACACACTGCCGGCCTCAGACCACAGGACACAGGTAACCTAGTAACCACAGTGTCACTATCAGTTTCCTTCACTTCCCGGGGCTGGGGAGGGCTTCAGCAGAGCCCGATGCCTTCTTTCTCCTCCAGGGCAGCCTTTTCCCCTCGCACCTCTCTCTCACTCCTCAGTACTTTAAAACCTGCCCCTCACCTCATTTCCCTCCAAAACTTATTCTCCCTCGTTTCAGTCTCTCTCAGCTTAGCCCACTCTCCAGCAGACCAGATGGGTGCAGCTGGCATTCGGGCTGATCATAACTTATGTCTGTTAAGGGCCATTTGTATTGGAATAGCGCTTTCTGTGCCTCAAGCCCTCGAGGATGAGTGCATGGAAGCATTTGATAGTGATCTCACAGGGGGGACTTTGGGGTGTTTTTAAAATTCCAAGGGAAACAGACACATCTGTCAGGCTGTGCACAAATTACTACTATTAAGTTATTTGGATTCACCTACTTAATAAAAACAACTGTTAGAAATTTATTTTGGCTTAGAAGAGCCGTGGGGGTGTAAGCAAATGTTCTGTGAATAGGAAGTTTGAAACTTAAGCCTCAAGCCTAAGCAGTGGGTAGCGGTGGCATATGAAGTAACTTAAATGCACTCAGGAAAGAGTTTGCAGAACCAGGGCCCCTTCAAGTCAACAAATCACAGACCGTAGGTGAGTCCATCCTTCCAAATAGGTCAAGATCACCAAATTCTTAGTATCTTCCTAGGTAATGACTTCAAGACCACCTGTTCTGGAGCACTCCCTGACCATAGCCCCAGGAGACAGAGAGATGCACTCAAGATCGTGAGGACCCATGGTAGAACGGAGAACAGCCTGCACTTTTAGGCTTTCCAAATGGGGAAGCAGCAGAAAGCAGCTAGGTCCAAGGCCCACTTCTGTGTGGTCATGTCCTCTCAATCAATATATATATATATATATATTCCATTAAGGCATGACTTCACATGTACACTACTTTGTAACTAACACCTGCAAGTGTACCTGTTATAAGAGTCACTCAATAAATGTATAAATGTATTGAATAAATTAGCTGGAGTTCCGTGGGAGAACTAAGCCCTAACACTCTGTCGTCCACCATATGAATTATCTTGTCTCCTGTGCATCAAGAATGGTGTGACTATGCACCTTGGAGGAACAGAGAACACAGTCACTGAAAGTAATGTCTGTGCGCTTTGATTCAGAGAGACTCCAATTGAGGAAGGCTGAGTTCACAGGCGAGTGAATGGCTGGAGAGTCCTATTCCTCTGAGGAGTCTACTTGGGCCCCAGTCCATTCTTCCCGCCTCTGCTCACTACCACTGGGTTGGAAATGGTTAATAGCCAAAGCTTGTGCTTCTACTGGGGAGCACTTAGGCGGGACGCACGGCCACCCCTGGAAGGTGGCCTGTGGGACCCCAC